ATATTTATTGTTGTGCCAAGTGTCTCATGAAATCTTCTCATATTCATTCCAAAAGCAATAAGCTACCAAGTATCAGTACAATAGATATAAAATTGTGAAGAAAAGTGTAATAATCACTAATGATTGTAATAATGAATGGTGTTTGGAGTCCTTTATTTGTTATGTATTGTATTTTTTCATATTTTAAAACAACTGTGGTTCATATGGTGGGTAGCATAAATTTAATTATTTTTGTTTTTACTGTTACAGTATGTTGTACATTATACAGTAATTGTGTTAAATTTGTTTAAGTGTGGGCAGTGTACAGCTGTTATTAGCCAAAAAGCCAAATCGTAATAAAAGCTGAATTTTGCTAAATATATTTTTTATAAACCATAAAGCTGATTTTTGCTACTTATATTAATTGTTTTGGCAAGTCAAATTTCTGTTTTGCTAATTAATATCATACCAAATTAGCTAAATTGTGAGACAAAATCTCCACTGAATAATATGAACGAGTGGTGCTGTGTGTAGGCCAAAACTATCATATATAATTATTAATAGTTTTATTATTACTATACTAATAATATTATTATTATCACTATTAGTAAATTGTCTTATGCTTTTTTCACTTTGTTGTATCCAGCCATGAAATGTTCCCGTAGAGGGATGAATAAAGTATCTTTGTATTGTATCCTTGTAAAACTATTTTTTTTACTAAAAAATTATAATTTAGGTAATTGCAAAATGAAGACAGACTTGGTGGCTTTGTGTAAGGCTAAAGGAAAAAATATGTTTGTTTGCTCTCCTCAACCCGCCAATAACTCACTGGAAAAAATATCCTACAATCTCAGAATTGCTAATTGGACATTGCTGGTAACTTCAGCACTTTCTTAAATGTGTTTTGCTGCTTGTGTGCAACATGTTGCTCAAGTTTATTATAGCTTATTTCATATATAGTTGAGGAAGTTTTATTTATTTGGTTTAAGTTTGCTAATACCTATCTAGAGCTGATTTGAAAGTTGATTTTTCATTAGCATGGATGACCTCTGTGGGTTATTTTTAATCCATCTGATGAGTATCTTAAAAATAATAAATAAATTTAAAAAAAAAATTCCACCTACTCCTATATCATAATTATTTTAAAAAATGGACGGGCAAACAAAGAATTTTTTTTGTTTTTTGGCCTAATTGATCCACACTCTGTGCTTTTATAATATATGTATATTTTTTGTTTAGTGCACTGCATGCCATGCTCTACATAAATAAATGGGATAGGCCTAGGCTAGGTACCCTCTATACCTATGGGGCCCTACTACTGTACTACTGGCCAGGCTGCAGCTGAGCTTGTTACACAACCTACTAGGTAGGGCCTACTAGTTAGTTAGGCCTAGCGAGTTACAATAAACATACCTATCAACAAACCTCTTTTAGCAATACCGTAAAGCCTCTGACAGAAACCCTAAATAGTTCCTTATTTGACGTTTAGGGTGGGTTACAATTAGGCCGACCTAGGCCCTAGAGTACGTGCGAGGACACCGCCGGTATGACGGGCCTCGTATCGGCCTGTGATTCTCTGTTTATCACTCGGTGACGCTACGAAAAGTTTGACGACGTTTTGTGTTTTTCTGAATGATTAGAACGCAATACTCGGCAAATAATGATTATAGCAACTTTTAGTAAACTTTCAAATAGTTGCCTAAAAATATTTCGACAGTTTAATGGTTCCATATATCCCGAAAAATGCGTTTTTGTTTCGTGCAACTCCTAGGCTAACTTTATGCACTATTGCACTGTCAGCGTCCATCGCGCAACATTTTCATTTCATTTCATTTCATTATTTATTTGGTCATTTACAACAACAGTGTATAAGAGACAGGGGACAACCAGAGTGAACCAAATCACTGTAGCAAAGCCGGTTTACCCAACCCCAAATTCAGCAACACATTAAAAAATCAAACATTACAGCGAATCAAAATACAAAGAAACCTTACAAAGAAAAGAGGACGGGCTTTCTAAAACTGCAGCATCGGTTAACAATCTAGGGAGCTGGTCCCAAACACGAGGCAACCTGATGGCTACCGAGTTGCTTGGGTCCTTGATGCTTGGTGATGGAAACACAAGCGATCATTATGTCTGGTATTGATTTTGATACCATCATAAACCGTGCTGCAGCTTAGAAGGCCTATCAGAACGTTAAAGCAAAAAATAATAAGCAATTTGTCCCTTCTGACAGACAAAGAAGAAAAAGAAAGCAAATGTAACCTCTCCTCAAAGCTCATCTGTCCTCGATGTTGTTTAAGAGCAAGACGAGTTGCTCTTCTATGTACTCCCTCAAGCAGGTCTGACAAAGTTTTAGTCCATGGAAACCAGGCGGGTTGAGCATACTCCAGGCCTGGCAATACCAGGCTTTTGTAGAGAGACAAAAATGCACTGGTCGAAGCATGTCCAGCCACGCTCCAAACAAAACCAAGCATACGCTTAGCTTTGGTCAATTTTGAGTTGAAAGTAACACCAAGGTATTTAATGGTGGTCACCGGACTAATAAGAGAGCCAGACAAGAAATAGGAAGACAATTGTTTATTACGCGAGCGTGTGATATGTAAAACATGTGTCTTCAGAACGTTGAAAGGCATGCGGT